CCCAGCTCAGAGAGCACCAAGGGCCCTATGGGCCCTTTGTCCTCCTCCTCTTCCTTCCCTTCTCCTTCTCCCCTCCTCTGCAAACTCTCTTCTGGCACTGGTTGTGTTCCCTGGTTGGGCCATGCGTATCAGGAAACCCCCAAGCACAGAGACCACCTAGGCCTCCCCTCCGGCTCATCTGTTCCTCTCAACACCTGCCCGTCAAAGACGCAATCATGTCATTCCGGCCACGGACCTCCAGCTGCAGTTTCAAACTGTTGGCTGTGTTTCCTCTGCTGTCCCCGAGTTCTGCCATCCAGATCCAGAGGAGGGACAGGCCGTGGCACTCCAGGAAGGACTTCAGACAGGCCTGAGAATGGGTATTCTTAGATAAAACGAAATAAAAGAGGAAGGGAAGGGAAGATGAGGACCAAACCGTTTTGGAAGCTCAAGTTGAAAGAAGAAGAAAAAAAAAAAAGGATGAGATCACAAGGATCACAGTCGGCTTAGATCGATCAAAACGCACCACCATCCTCACAAGTGTTGCCTGGCATTTGAAGTGGCTAATGTCTTGTTTGAAAGACAATTGTGAGGCGAGGGGTTTAGGATCTGGGGAGACTTCAACTTGGCAGCCTCCATTCAAGTTTCTCAACTGATCTGCAGGAGAGGCACTGGCAACCCTTGGTGGGTTGATCTTCTCGAAGAGGACAAGGGCAGGGCGGACCTCTCAAATTCCCGCCTGCATTATTACACCACGGAAGTATGTGGGACGGAACTGCTCCTGCGCGGACTGCAGGTAGTCCTCAACTTACAACCGTTCATATAGTGACCCATTCAAAGTTACAACGGCACTGAAAAATGTGACTTGGCCATTCGACTTACAACGGTTGTGGTAATCCAGTCACGTAATCAAAATTAAAAAACATTGACTACTGGTTCGTATTTTGGGCATTGCAGTTAGTTAGTAGGCATTGTCTTGTACCCTATTGGCTTCCACAGCGGGAACGTTACCCTAAAATAATGTATTTTCCTGAGCTGCTTTTCTCTATAGTTGCAGTGAGTCTATCTAAAAATGCTATCCAGTAGTTCACAAGGTCAGCTCTCTCACATCAATCAATCAATTTGATCCTTCCAGTGTGTGCTTGCTTACTCTCTTATAATCCCTTTCTCTCCAACGAATGGAAATAGAGGGAGTCCTCAATTTATAAGCGTTCGTTTAGTGACTGTTCAAAGTTACAAAAACTTATGATCATTTTTCAGTTATGATTGTTCAAGCATCCCGATAATCATGTGATCAAAATTCAGACACTTGGCGACTCGTATTTATGATGGTTGCAGTGTTCCGAGAGTCACACGTTTCCACTTTGTGACCTTCTGACTAGCAAAAGCCGACGGGGAAGATGGATTCACTTAACAACCGTGTTGCTAATGTAACAACTGCAGGGATTCACTTAACAACTGTGGCAAGAAAAACCATAACATGGGAGAAAACTCACTTAACAAATGACTCGCTTAGCCACAGAAATTTTTACAATCAAATCCAGATTAAAACTCGGCCTGCCCTCCAGAATCAGTTTTTGATGTTGGCAGCCAAACAGGAGATGTTCTCCTGGGACATGCTATCGCAGAGGTCTTCAAATGTGGTAACTTAAAGACTTGTGGACTTCAACGCCCAGAATTCCCTAACCTGCCATGCCTGGTTGGGGAATTCTGGGCACTGAGGTCCACAAGTCTTAAAGTTGCCACATTTGGAGAGTCCTGTTTTATTGGATATTACCAATATCCAATAAAAAACCTATGCTTGACTTAGATGGAGGATTGTCCAACTTAACCCAAGATGAAACTCAACTTGAATGCAATGTGTGGTTGGCAGTTCAAGGGTGTGGTGGAAACCAGCTACTTCTTCACACAGGCCATTGCTATTAGGTGAACATGGTAACCGTGATTTGTTCGACCAAGTTCAAGAGTTTTTGTGGTGTAGGAACCGGTGCAAAGAGAGTTTCAATTCAGTTCTTGAAGAGGGCAATAGATTGGATGAAGGTCAAAAGAGAGTCAAACCAGACAAAATCAGATATTGTTAGTCAGTGACTCGTCTACTTGGCTAAAGGAGAATTTTAACCTTCAGGATCAACTGTGATGGTGTCCTTCTGTCTTGCATTGCCGGAACTCTGGCATGGTGCAAGATCCTTTTATTAAATTATTCTGGTATTTTATTTAGAACCCCATAGAAAAAGAATTAATGACCAAGTTATTAAAAATACAGATAGTCCTCATTTAGGAAAACTGCTTTAGTTCTCTGTCTTGGGCACAGACTGATCGTGGCTACTACGACTGACGAAAAGCCACTTTATGACCAATGCTCAGTTACGACATTCACTCCATCTGTTCTAGGTCTACCATTACAGTTAGTTAGTAGGCATTGTCTTGTGCCCGACACTGGGAACATGACCTGGAAAACCTATTTTCCTGAGCTGCTTTACTTTATAGTTGCAGTCTCTAAGAATGAAGCTCTCTCACCATAATCAATTAAATTGATCCTTCCGGGGGCTGGCAATGTTTAGCGTGTTCCTTTAAATAAGGGGTGTCCAACTCGTGTCATATGACGCATCCTGAACCCCCCCCCCCCCCGCTTTGCTAAACCGGGCATGGCCATGGTCAGCGCATGACCCATCCAGCCCGCAGGCCACAAGTTTGACAGCCTTTCCTTAAATGTATATTCCCCAAGTGCTATTGTGTTTACTCTCTTACAATCCCTTTCTCTCCAATGAATGTAAATACAGGGAATCCTCAATGGTTGTGCAAAAAGTGACTTAGGATAATCTTTCACACTTTTTGCAGCCTAGTCCTCAGAGTCACATGATTAAAATTCAGACGCTTGACAACTGATTTATATTTATGGCGGCTGCAGCGTCCCACGGGGAGAGGGCCACACGATCCCCTTTAGTGACCTTTCGACAAGCAAAGTCAATGGGTATCCAGATTCTCTTAACAGCCTTGTTGCTAATTTAACAAAAGCTGTGATTCGCTTAACAACTGTAGCAAGGAAGGTCTTAAAATAGGGCAAAACTCACTTAAATGTCTCACTTGGCAAAAAATAAAATAATGGGGCTCAATTGTGGTCCTAAGTCAAGGACTACCTGTACAAACTTCCATTCTCTTCTTGCTAAGCCTTCCAAATGGCTGTTAAGATTTGTCCTTTTACCCACTTTTGTGACCTGAGCTCTGAAAACCTTCCTTGCCCTTTGAGCTCACCCAGCTGTTTGTGGGTCACAATCGCCTCTCATGGCAGATTACAGGGAAGTTGAAGTAAAATTGTGATTTTTGATTTTTCACTGGTCAATCACTTCTTTTAATGACAGAGTTGGCGAAACCAAGTGCAATTCTTTAATGAGGACTTCCTGTAACTTCTTCTCCAGCATTAAGCAACACAGAACTACCGACCGTGCTCACTTATGGATGGGGACTGGGAGTGGCAATGCCATCACTAAGGGAGACAAGCCGTGAAGTGATATGTGATGTTACTGCAACTGACTTAAGAGTAACAATAACCGTGTTCGTTAGGCAACGCATGACTGCAATTTGAAAATTCCTGCTGGGTCACCTGGGGATCGTATTAATTGTTGGAATCCAGCAGGGGAAGATTGCAAAATGGAGATCACGGGAAGACAGGACGCTGTGACCATAGTAAATATGTGCTAACTGCCCAAATGACAATCCCGTGACTGCAGAGACATGGTGAAGGCCAAGGTTCAGACACGAAATTTCTTACTGAAGCGACGCCGTAGCTTCAAATGGTCGCTGAATGGGGAAGTTGGTTAACAAATATTAACGATACAGATAAATAGGGCAGTTCCTCTAAGAACGAGAAAGGCTAGCTAGAAATATGATTAAGGGCCGCTTGGATGATATTATATAGAACTGTGATTGCGAACCTTTGGCACCCATGCCAGAAATGGCACACGGAGCCACTTCTGCCAGCATGCGAGAGGCTGCCTGGGAGAGCCCCACTGTGCATGTGCAACCCACCAGCCAGCCGATTGTCCGGTAACTGCCGTGCAAGCGCAAGGGGAGACGCGAGCGTGGGACGCGTGCACAGGCATGCGGTGTGTGGGTTTGTGTGCGCATGCCCAGAGGCATGCGGTGCAGGGGAATCACACACGCATTGCATCATGAGTGTAGGCACACGAACACATATGCATGCACTTTTGGCACACAATGTGGAAGAGGTTCACCACCACAGATATAGAACGTGGAATAATAGTGCTGGAAGGGAACCTGGAGGCCTTCTAGTCGGACCCCCCCTGCTCCTGCCTATAGGGGATCAGAGGCTTTGAATAGGGTTCAGTCTTATCCAATAAAAGGGTCATTTGGCAAATAACCCAATATTGTGTATTGCGTAAAAGCTGGTTTAAAAAATAGTTGTGCTTGCCATATAAATATATATTTAATTTCATTGAGGTCTCTGAAGGCTGTTTAACACAAACAGGCAGGTCCTCATTTAATGAGGTCAACTCATGTGAAATGGTCACTAAGTGAAAACTGCAATAGCCTAAGTGTGATCATTGTACATACAACTTGACTACGGATTTTTGTATTCAATTTTTTTTATTTTTCATAAAGTGGACAATTTAATAACCTTTAAACATTCCACTTCACAGATCTCTTCAATTCCAACATACGCTCGCCAGAAAAAATACACTGTAATAATTTACTACCTTTCAAAAACTTTGCATATTTTTATGACAATCTAAAGGACACCAAGGTTTTTAAAGCCTTAACACTGTAGCCGTATGTTTTTACACAACTACCCTACATAGAAAACGAAAGCGTTAAACTGAATCCCAACGTACGAAAAGTTGGCTTATTACACAAGTACAAAATGTTGCTTTACAAAAATAAAACAGTTCAACATCTGATTTTTGCAGTTACAGGACCTGCAAAGATCAAACTATTCAGAAATAAACCCCAAAATTAGTCTTTTTTGAATGAAGGCAAATTAAAGTCTTTTTCTGCATTTAAAAAAAAAAATTCAGCTAGCGGGCATAGCTGAGGGCTGACAATTGTCTGGGTATTTTATTTCAATCCCTGGAGAGGAAAGGAAGAACTAACTTTCTTAAAGAACGCACTAATTTTAGTTTGCATTCTGCTTTCTCTTTTCTTCTTCATATATTTCATGGTAACAGTGCAGGATTTGGTGGACTCTCTCACGTACCCTTTCAAAACGTTCTACATCCAGATCCATCCTTTCTAACTCTGATAAAATGTTGTCAACCTCTGTGAAAACACAAGCCAACCTTCTCATGGTGAATTTTTTAGCCTTAATTTTTCTTTTTTCCTTTCGTTTTCCTTTTTCTTCTTCCTCTTCCTCCACAACCTCCTGGGCTGACAATTCTTCTCTTAGCTCGATTAATTCTTTGACAGAAAGCTCTCCTTCCATAGACGCTATCCACTTTCTCACGGCTTCAGCGTCAACCTGTAAACCGAGGGTTTGCGAGAGAGCCAAAATGTTCTGGTTTGTTTTCCCCAAATCTTCGTCAGGGTTGTCAAATCCTTCGAAGTTCCTGACAAGATCTGGGAAACGTTTTAAGCACTTTCCCCAAATGCCTTGCATGCACGGCGCAGCGACGCCCTGCCACGCTCTGACGATGTTTTCCATGCAGTGGAGGATATCGTACCGTCTCCAAAACTCGTTCAAGCTCACCCTGCTTTTTTCCATCGTGGCTACCGCTTCGGTCAAGAACTCCTGTAAATAACACGCCTTGAATGATGCCATGGCCCCCTGGTCCATCGGATGCAAGAGAGGGCTCGTGTTTCTGGGCAGGTAAACAACCTTCACATCTGCCTGGAGATCATCCAGAGGCGAGGGATGTCCTGGTGTGCTGCCGAGGATCAGGAGAATCTTAAAAGGAACCCTCGTTTGCGAGCAATAGTCCTTGGCTTGGGGCACAAAGTAAGTCCTCAGCCAGTGCTCGAAGAGGAAGTGGGTCATCCAAATATTCCGACCGGATTGGTAATGCACCGGAAGGGTGTCCTTTTGGAACGCACACGGATCCTCCGATTTGTGGATCAGAAATGGCTTCAGCTTGAAACCGGCAACGTTTCCGCCCAACAGCAAGGTGATTCGGTCATGAAAAGTTTTACACACAGGTACAGCTTGAGCTTCTGGGCACAGGTGGGTGCCCTCTGGCCATTTTTTCCAAGATAACCTAGTTGAGTCCACGCTGAATATCTGTTCAGGCAGATATCCCCCTTCTGCTAAGACCTCGTCAAGCTCGTCCCGGAACCGCTGGGCAGCTTGTTCGTCAAGGCCTGTGGTTTCTCCCTTGGTGGGTATGTTTCGGTAATTAAATCTTCGCTGAAACCGCAGAAACCAGCCGCGGCTGGCGTCGAAGGTTTTGGTGCACGCTTCACCGGCTCGCTCCTTCAGCATGGCGAAAATGCCGCGTGTCTTCTCCTGAATGCGATGCAAGCTGATTGGTTCCCCCTTGCGGACCTGATCCTCAATCCACAGCACCAGCATTTGCTCTGTCTGGTGGATGAGGCCCATTCGGTGCCTTGTTATGGTGGTGTCCGTTCCCGTGGATCCTTTGACCAGTGCTCGGATCTTCTTCCTGTCCCTCAAAATCGTCCAGACGGTGGTGTGAGCTAGTCCTTCTTCTCGGGCGATGAGATTAGTCTTCTTCCCGGCTTCGTGCGCTTTGATGATCTTCATCTTCATGTTGAGATCGATGGTCCTCCTTTGCTTCTTGACACTCCTTTTGGCTGAAGTGGCGGCCTCTGGCTTTGCAGACACCTTGGTATGGGGTGCGACCAGGTGGACGACGGCTTTCCGTCGTCTCGTTATCGTTTTTCTTGTCCCTGGTAATTCCTTCAAGGCTTCTCTGATCCTTTTCGAATCCTTCAAAATTGTAAATATAGTGGTGTGCCCCAGGCCTTCTTCTCGGGAAATAGCGGACACCTTTTTCCCACCTTCATACGCTTCAATAATCTTCATCTTCCGATCAAGACTGATGGATGTCCTACGCTTCTTGCCACTTCCAGCAGATGAACTGGGGGTGGTAGGCTTTGAAGACGGCTTGGTTGGGATTTGAACTTGCAAGCATCTTGGTTTGGGGGGAGAGGGGGAGGGATTTGGGTCAACCGACATATTGGTGTGGGATGTGGGTGGGTGAACCCGGTCCTCCCGAGGTTTTGTGATAACTGTTCTCGTCCCTGGTAATTCTTTCATGGCTTCTTTGATCCTTTTCTGGTCTCTCAAAATCGTGAGGATGGTGGTACGAGCCAGGCCTTCTTCTTGAGCAATAATCTGCGCCTTCTTCCCGGCTTCATATGCTTTGATGACCTTCATCTTCAGATCAAGACTGATGGTTTTCCTAGACTTCTTGCTATGCCCTTCAGTTGAGCTGCGGGGCTTTGGCTTTGCAGGTGCCTTGGTGTGGGGCGTGAGTGGATGTAGGAGGCCTTTCCGTGCTTTTGTGATCCTTTTTCTGGTCCCTGGTAATACCTCGAGGGCTTCTCGGATCCTTTTCTTATCCTTCAAGATGGTGGAATAGGACAGACCTTCCTCTTTCGCCATGATCAGCTTCTTCTTCCTGGCACGGTATGCTTTGACGATCTTCATCTTCAGATCAAGACTGATGGATCTCCTTCGCTTCTTGCTGCCTCGTTCCGTCGAAACGAGAGCTAGAGACACCTTGGGACAGCTTCTGGATGTGTGTGGGAGGTCCTTCTGCTCCCTTGTCCTTGGTGATCCACTCATGGCTTCTCTGACTCTTTCCTTGGATGAGATGGTGGAACAGGCCGGGTCTTCTGCTGATACTGGATCCACCTTCTTCTCGTCATTGTGGGCATTGACAGTCATCATCGCCTGACTGAGGTCAATTCTAGTCTCTTTGCTACTACTTTCATCCTCTGGCTTCAAAGACATCTCAGTATGGGGTGTAACTGTGTGGGTGAGATCTTCCTGCTGCCTTGCTGTTACCTTCATCCCTGATGTTCTTTTATCCTCCTTTCTGATCCTCTTCTTGTTCTTCAAAATGGCCGGGATGGTGGAACGGGCCAGCCTTCCTCCTCTTTCTTCTTCCGTGTCCATCTTCCCGGCATTGTGGGCACTGAGGTCTTTCATCTTCGAATTGAGATCGATGGCCTTGCTTTCCTCCCCGCTACTTCCTTCATCTGAAGTGGGGTTCTTGGCTTTTGAAGACATCTTGGTATGGGGTATAAAGGCGCGTAAATAGTAAATAAGCAAGTGAAAAATTAAGAGCAGGTTATACACGAGCGCGGTTTAACTAACTGCAATGACACACTCAGGACTGGAATGGCACAGGGTTGGACTAGAAGACCTCTAAGACCCCTTCCACCTCTGTTATTCTGAAATCTTACAGGGTTCTCCTGCTTGAGCAGGGGAGGTTTCACTAGGAGGCTTCCAAGATCCCTTCCAATTCTGTTAATCCTGATCGAGAGCGAGACACTGTAAAGGTCATAAAAGCAGGAATGGTCATAGCCATCTTATTTTACAGGGAGTCCTCAACTTACAGCACAATTGGGGCCAGAAATTCTGTTGCTAATAGAGACAGTTGTTTTAAGGAAGCTGTGTTCGATTTTATGATTGTTTTTTTTTTCTTTTTTTGCCATGCTGTTAAGCAAATCACTGCGGTGGTTAAACCAGCCACGTGGCCGTTAATTCTGGCTTCCCCCACAGATTGGACTTGGCCACAAATGGCGATCAGGGGATCCCAGGATGCTGCGACCGCCGTAAGTACATCCAAGTGCCCGAATTTTAATCGTGGTGATTGTGTAGATGCTGCAATAATGATTCGTAACCGAGAAGACCTGGGCCTTTTTTTTTTTTTTTCAGGTCACTTTTTTCAATGCTGTCATAACTCCGAAGCAAATGGTTGGAAGCCGAGGACCGCCCATACGGTCAACCTGCTTGCGGATGGGTGGCTATCTGAGGTATTTGCTAAACAGGAACAACCTTAGAAGAGTTTCAAGTTATTACCGCCCCCCCACCCCCCACCCATCGTAATTGAAAAGGGAGGGAAGAGGAGCTGCCAAAATAATGTGCCTCAGCCAACTCCTTGTGAGAAAATCTATGACAGGAACCCTCCCTTGTGCTATAGGCACCATCACCAATGTGTTTAGCCCAATTCATCAACCGCTTCCCAAAGGCAGAATTTACAATCTGGCCCAAAATCCAGGTGGTTTGATCTAGGAAGGGAACTAAAAACCCTACGACGAATCCATGGATGGTTCCCCCAAAATTATTGGAAGTACAGGTAGTCCTCGGCTTAAGACCACAATTGCACCCAAAATGTCTGTAGCTGAGACATTTGTTAAGTGAGTTTTGCCCCATTCCGTGACCTTTCTTGCCACAGTTAAGTGAATCACTGTATTTATTAAGTGAATCTGGCTTCCCCATTGCCTCTGCTTGACAGAAGGTCGCCAAAGGGGATGACATGACTCGGAACACGCCATAAATACGAGCCGATTGCCAAGCACCTGAATTTTGATCACATGACCAAGGAGATGCTGCAACGGTTGTCGTTAGTGTGAATGGTCATACGTCACTTTTTTTTAGTGCTGCTATTAAATTTGAACAGTCACTAAACGAAGTGTTGTAAGTCGAGGACTGCCTGTAATTTTGCCCAGGGCAAACTTTTTCATCCTTCCTCATTACAGAATTCCCCATTTAGATAATTTTTTTTTTTCTAAATTCGGAGTTTCTCAACTTTGATCCCCTTGAAGATGGGTGGGCTAATTCAACTCCCCAAATTTCCCAGCCAGCAAACCCCTTTTGTACAGCTGGGGAATTTGGGGAGTTGAATTAGCCCACCCGTCTTCAAAGAGTCACGGTTGAGAAACTCTGTTCTCAACAACGCAGGTAAAAACTGATGGTTTCAAAGAATGATGATAGCGTCTAGTTCACTTTCACTGAAAATCTCTTACCTGTTTTAAATAAAGAACGAGAATCCCAAACACTTCCTACATCAGTAACTCCCAACCCCCAGGCCTTTAAAACCTTAATTATTTTTGTCTCCAAACTTTCAATGAGCACCCCTCGACTAACCAAGCCGCCCAGCAAAAGACTCACCTGGATGAGTTTAAGACAGGTGAGCTTTTGTTCTGGTGTCTCAATTCGAACCATCAGGCGGGACAAACTGAGGACTTGATTCTTATCAGAGAGCCCTTCGCCATTCTCCAGGAGCGCTTCTAATTCTCCATCCACCTACGAAAAGCCAGAGGAGAGATGCTAGAACCAGGCTCAGAGCCACAGAATACTTGTGGCTCAGGGCTGAGTTGGAGCTCTCTGAGCGTGGCGGTTTCCTTGCAGAAGTTTTATTACCCAGTGAGGCGACATCATCAGAAGGAGAGACGGGTGTTGCAGAGAAAGAGGAGGAAGAGGAGAAGGTGATGGTGGGAGTGGAGGAGGAGGAGGAGGACAATGGCTATTGAATCCTGGATCTTGGTAGGTTTCTTGCAGACCTTTCGTGACCCAACTAGGGATGAAGGTGGAGGAGGAGGAGGGAGAGGGAGAGGGGGAAAAGGAATTGAAGTCAATCCTTCTTAAAGCATGCTGACTGGGGAATTCTGGGAGTTGACGTCCTCCTCTTTTAAAGTGACCAAGTTTGAGAACCACGAGTCTAAAGCTGGACAACGCTGTTTTTCTTTTTTGTATTAGCAGCCACAGAGATCTACACTTACACGAGGGAAAGCATGGGAGAAAGCATCACAGTGAACCACCGTGTCTACAATATCACAACGTGACACTAGGCTTTAGGGCTCTCGCACACACGGAGGACAGCAACACAAAAGGACTCCAAAGCCGTAGGACTGACATCGTAAGTGCTGTGCCACGAAGACCTCAGTCTCTGTCTCTTGGGCCAAGGAGGGTGGCAAGAATGCTGGTGTGTTGAAGTGGAGCAGCTGCCCAGCCCTTCGCAGCTTTGCAGGATTGCGGGAGAGCCATGGGCATCCGAAGCAACCACCCAAGCGGCCCGTTTCTTATACAGAACTGCCCTGCTTCAATGCTTACCGAATCTTTCTTACGTGACCGTTCCTTCTTCATTTTGCCTCCTGCAGCACGAATGCTGACCCGGTTCTCTCCGCCCAGGTAACCCCGACAGTTGGCGGAGCCACAGAAACATTTCTGGGCTTCTTTGCTGTTGGAAAAACACATCACAACAGTGAGGGACTGAAACAGGCTTCATCTCCTCTTCATCTCTCCACCTTTCTATTTCTCCATCCATCCATCCAATATGAATATAATTCTACCTATCTCTGCCTGTATCAGGGGTGGGCAAACTACGGCCCGCGGGCCACATCCGGCCCGTTGGTCTGTCCAATCCGGCCCGCCCCTGAAAAATAATCGCTGGGCGTGGGTATTGCCCTGCGCCGCGTGGCCCCCAAAGAAGCAAAACAGTGCGGAGCGCTCTCGAGGTAGGAAAGGAAAGAAGAACTTTGCAAAGGCCTCGGCTGGGAGTTCGAAATCACCTTCGAGTGCGACCTCTCCGAAGGGGAGACCCCGCCGATCCCCCTTTTTTTTCCGGGGCTTCCAGGCTTAAACTTTGCAAAGGCAAAGTTTGCAGGCGGGAGCGTCTTCCCGCCGAGGAGCGGGAAGGGTTCCGCCCGGCGGGCTGCTTGGAGCGGGCTGCATAGAGCCACCTAAAGCTAGGCCGCTGCTGGTGGAGCCTTGCCCTGCCTTGGTGCCCTGTTTCCTGGCTTGACGGTCCTGCTCAGGCAGCACTTTAAAAGCCTGCTCCCAGCACCCGAGTAACTTCCCAGCAACTTGCGGCTTCCTTTTTCCTCGCGGGCGCTCCTGCCTGGCCCCGAGCTGCACGGCAGAGGGGAAACCTGGAGCGCCACCGGGTTGCCTCTTCCAAGCAGTCCGCCCGCCCGCCGGGCGGAACCCTTCCCACTCCTTGGCGGGAAGACGCTCCTGCCTGCAAACCAGAGCAACTTCCCAGCAACTTACTGCTTCCTTTTTCCTTGCGGGCGCTCGCGCCTGGCCCCGAGCTGCGCAGGTGTGAGCGCCCGCAAGGAAAAAGGAAGCCACAAGTTGCTGGGAAGTTGCTCGGTTTTTCCGGAGCTTCCAGGCTTAAACTTTGCAAAGGCAAAGTTTGCAGGCGGGAGCGGGTTCTGCCCGGGGGGCGGGCGGGCTGCTTGGAGGAGGCGACCCAGCGGCACTCCGGGCTTCCCCTCCACCGTGCGGCTCGGGGCCATGTGCGAGCGCCCGCGAGGAAACAGCAAGCCACAAGTTGCTGGGAAGTTGCTCGGGTGCTGGGAGCCGCCCTTGTGGTGAGCGGCTTGTCGGGTGCGTACGCGAGGAGGAGGGCTTTTAAAGTGCTGCCCGAGCAGGATCGCCGAGCCGAGAAATGCGGCACCAAGGCAGGGCAAGGCTCCACCAGCCACAGCCTAGCTTTACATGGGCTTGGATGCCCCTGAGCGTGGTTTGCTGTTTGTTCTCTCCTGGGACTCGCACTTGGAAAGCATGGAAAGTAGTAGCAGGAGCAGCCGCGGTGTTACTTTTTCTTATATATATATCTTATATATATATATATATTGTATTTTCCCATGTCATAGTAGCTGTGCTTTTAAAGTTGTAGCGACGTTTCAGCAGAAT